TGTCAGGCCCTGGCCCAGGCTGCCCAGGGCAGGGGCTGAGTCCCCATCCCTGGGGGGATTTAAAAGCCGGGGAGATGTGGTGCTCGAGGACATGGTTTAGTGGTGGCCTTGGCAGCGCTGGGTTAACGGTTGGACTCGATGATCTCAGAGGTCCTTTCCAACCTTAGCGATTCGGTGATTCTATGATTCTATGGTTCTCGCCTCGTGCGTGAGCACACAGGAGGGATTTGGAGCCGGTCTGACACCCTGAAGCCACTTTGCTCCGCCGATCGGGCTCAAGGCAGAAGCTCATCTGGTGCTCGGCGCTGACCCCCTCTCCAGCTGGCCGCCGTCTTGGTTTCCTGGCCAGACCACGCTCCTTCGCTGCCCTAAGCGCAAGACGAAGAAGCCGTTTACCTCACACCCAAGATATAACCCCGGCGGCAACAGTCACCTCTTCTGTCACCATGTTCCCAACCCAGCCGGGTTTTTTTAGGGATGCCACCGGAATCAGCAGCAGGAGGAGGCGGCGCACGCATCGCTCCTGTTGTCCAACCTGCCCCGGCTTGCGGGAGGCTCGGAGCCGCGCAGGCAGCACGCGGGCAATCCAGGCAAACCAAACCTGCGGAGGGGATGCCGACGCCTTGGTTCCTTAAATCCTGAATTCTAACGCTGTCCTCTGTCGCCTGCGACTGGCGGCTCTTGGGGGAAGGAGTCCCCTCCAGGTGCCAACGGCAGGCTCCCGCCCTGGCCGCGGGACGCTTCGCACCCGACGACAAGAAACCAGGGGAATTTTATTGAAAGATAAACACCGGAGAGCGGTACAAAAATAACTTAGCTCGGTTTGCATCAAAGTCCGTTACCAGAAAAGTACCTGATGTAAAAATATACAAAAATAATTTAGAAAAGTTTCATGTTTCTAGTAAAACCCTTTTGAACAGACATCAGTATTTTACAGTATCCTTGGCCTGTATTTACGTACGTTCCTCTAGAATCAGAAAATGATGGTTCCCCCCCACTATTTTTGAAAGGCCGCTGGCGAAGGAGCTTCTTCCCTCCCCATCCACAGCACACGGCGGCAGCGAGGCAACAGTTCTCCGCTTGCCGCTGGGATGGCAAAGTTCTCATGTTCTCCAGCCTTTGGTTGAAGAAAAAGCAGCTGTCTCAAAATGCGATGCTTGGTGTTCACTCAAATCAACAAAAAAAAAAGTTAATTGGAGAAATGCTCCATGAATAAATCCCCAAAATGGAGTAGCTGGAGAGCAGGTAACAGCTCAGCAGTTACCCGAAGTGGTGGGTCTCGTCGGGGACCTGCCCTGGCAAGGCACGCGGTCCCTCAGCTCCCCTTGTACGTCCCTCTAACGGGACGCCAATTAGGCTAATTAAAAATCTGAGCCTGAAACCTGCAGCTTCCATCGCCTCTTCCCTGGAGGACCCGGCCCTTGCCGATGCGTCGGGCCGCGGCTCGGGAAGAAGCAGCCGCCGCGGACGGCCTCTCGCCGGCGCTATTCCTTCTTGGAGAGCTGAGCGGAGAAGATCCTGGCGATTCTTTTGGTTTCCTCCTCCGAGAGATGGGCCGTGGGCCTGGGGCGATGCGGCCTGCGGTAGGGGATGCCCCTCGGCACGGCTCCGCTTCTGCTCTGCCGAGAGAAGGAGGAAGGCGTTAGAGCCCCGCCAGTGCTGCCCCGCGCCTGGTTGCCGATTGCGGCAAACCGCAGGGCCGTGCCGCGTGCGAGAAGTTGGATACACAGGGAAAAAAAAAAACCCTCATGATGTGTTTTCTGTTGCTCGCCACTTCTCCTCGGAGGGGTTTTTCTCTTGTTCCGCACACAGAGGCAACTGTTTGGAAAAAAAAAAACCCTGTTTGTTCCAACTGTTTGGAAGAAAAACCCCACGGCGGTGAAGTATTTCCCTGCTCGACACAATGTTAGCTGCTGCAATGCTCTTCTTCCTCAGCGCTGCAGAAAGCAAAAGCTGAAAGGCAAAATGAGAAAGGTCCAAACCACAGAGCTTTGCTCTGGCGAGCGAACTCTGCACTTGTGAATGCCTGCCCTCCGCCAAAGTCGTCTTCTACGAAGCCAAAAGCATTACACCAGTGTGGTCACTGGGCTCCGACTCTGAATTTTGCTGTTCAATTATTATTTTAATTTGCAGAACCCCAAAAACCAACCCACCTCGCAACGGAGAGGCAAGGCTCCTACGCCACAAATCCAAGGCTGCTGACAAATCCGAGCGGCCCATCCCGGTTGCCCGCAGGAACCCCTGCAGCAGCCCACCAGATAAAAACCCATCGTTTGAAGCATTTTAACATCAGGTTTGCACGCATCCTCCCAGCCGCCAGGCTTTCTCCCAGACGTTACAGCAGCACGAAAGACGGGTAATTTCAGCGTACAAAGAAAATCGCCTTTCTCCCCAAGTGGTTTAGAGCCAGGTCATGCCTGCGAAGCACCGAGAGACCCGGCTTCGGCTGCCTTCGGAGGCAGCTCATGAGCTGCGGAGCCCGAAAAGGCTCCTGGAGAGCGGGGTGTGATTCGGAAAGGCGATACGCCGGTCCGGCCTTTCGCCTGCATCGCTGGGCTGCTTCTCCGTCCCAGCCGGGCTCAGCCTCGCGGTGGAAAGGTCTCCCGAGGCGATCGGCTCCCTCCCGGGAGAAACGGTGCCACGATCCCATTCCTGTGCGCTCCCCGCTTTGCCGTGCAGCGTTTGGGGAGGGAAACGGGGTTTTTTAGGAATAAGCGGGTTTGGAGATTTCCTGGGTTGGGTTACCTGCGCTCAGGTGACGAGCACACTGAGTATTAGCCCTGCAACAGCATCGCTGGTGAAGACCCTTACGGGAAAACACCCGTGTAGATAAAAAACTCCTCCTGATCTATACGTCCTGGGTGTACTTGTGTTTGCACAGGAGGCTAATTGTAAGTTAATTTAACATCAGCTACAATTTATGCAAACAGACGAGACCAAGAGAGCCAGGAACCACAGGCCCGGATTCCCTAAAGGATGATTTTTCAGCCTGCTCCTGCGCAGCCAGACTCGGGAGACAGACGGCTCAACGCTCACAAAGACGATGGTTTTGGTCGCTGGCTGGTTGGTTAATAAAAAGGATGACAAGGGTGAGAACAGCTCGCGCGGTTTTATGTCCAACAGCGCAGAAAAGGCTTACGACAAGCTAACGGTAAATTCCTGTACCCTCAATACCCAGTTTCCTACGGCTAATTGTGTAAATCACGTGAAAAGACTTCAAACTGTATCCAGGAAAATAGCTTTGGCTTATAATACTTCAAAACACTGCCTGTTTTTATCGCACTGAAAAAAACATACGTTGATGAGAATCCTTGCTTTCTTTTTCTTTCTCCTTAATGCCGCTCCAGGATGATCTTTCCTAAACCAAAACGGAAGAAGCCGAGAGAGATGAAATGCAGACCCGGCAACATTAGAAGCTTAAAAACCAGCAGAGAGAGAGGCTGGCTGGCCAAAGCACCTCCCTTTGACAGCGCAGTCTGCTCAAGGCTGTCCGCCGAAGACCAGGTCAGTACCTTATTCTTCCCACGCTGTTTTCTGTGCCAACTGTCTAAGAAACTGTTGAGACTTTAGCATTGGCTGGAGACGGACGGCCACCAGCTCGCGCTGGCTCGCTGCTGGTCCCTGGTCTCTGTCCGGCAGTCGTAAGCAGTTCATAGAGAAAAACGTTCAACGTGAAAGCTCAGCGGGCTGGCGAAAGGCTTCTGGTTTTAGCGCATC